TCATATCAATGATGTGTTTGTTCTAGATGTTAACCCCTAACACTGCCCCTTTAACATTTATAAATCAAAGCGATTTGCTTTTGAGTTAATGACATCAAAAATTTTAATTTGCAAATTTTTTCTGACATATATCTTTTCACCTGGACTTCAACTTGTTCTTGATATGGAATGGCTGTTTCTTAGCTCAGAATTTTTCTTTACATGAATAACTTGTACATATACTTCATGTTATTGATTTGTAATCATTATGCCCTGCTTTTGGATGATATATCTTGTACTGGTTGGCCTTTTGCGACCATTTGGCCTAGTTTTACCAGGACGACAAGTATATGTGGACATTTGGTGCACTATGATCATGCACAGAGCATATGTACCTGAACGGTAGAGGTCTGATATCAGCATGTGTTCCCCCAAAACAATTCACAAAAATATATGCCTTCTATTACTTTGCCTGGTAAAGCTTAACTTCATATACAATTAGTTACATCTTACTGTAAATGCTAAATGACTGTCTCTAACTTAAGTTTAATTCTTCAAGAAAATACATTACACTGTACTTGATATACAACAGAACGAAGGATTCTAAACTGAAGACAAACAAATGAATGACATATCTTAATACAAATTGAGAACTAAAATAAAATGATAGACATTTTCTGCAATTCTTGTCAGGAGCATTTTTTTATCATAAAGTGGTATAATCAATGTTGTTTACTTTATCTTTTACAAACAGTCTAAAGCATTTGAGCTACGATGATGTAAGGTGATCTTACAAACAATACACCATTCCAGACAAAAGGTAAAGACTTTTATACTTACCACATAACAATTCCTAGCTATAAACATTCATGTTTCATTGATAATCTTAATGTATTGTTAAAAGATTTATACTGCAATCTAAGGATGTGCTATTTTCAGTAGAGATCCACTAAAATTTAATTATGCAACATTAAGTATGTTTACAGTAGCCATTTTAAACTTTTTAATTAATAATTTAATAAATTTTTAATTTATATGCGAATACTTTACTTGCAACTTTGAGACTTGTCTTCATACAAGTTCAACGTTAACATACAGCTAATACTATATAAACTCTGACCTAAACACATAAAATTCAAATCTGGAATCATTAATTGTAAAATAAGTTGAATAAAAAAATGATGAAAATATAATATCAACAAAAACTAAGATCTGCACATTTATGTTTTAAGAAGTACTTCACATGGTCTTGGTCAATCAAAATCTCATTTCAAGAATTGATGTCGTAGAAGCTTTGACTACTTTCCAGTCTAATTGTCTAAAGATTCGGATCAGGATACAGGTCAACACATATGAAAATACTTAAAATGTTTCTTTGCAGGGATTATCTGTCTAAATTGTTGTTTATATCAATTCTAAGTACAACATCATTGTGGAGATGCTTTGACAAGTGAGGGCAGATAGACTGATCCAAAAGTTGTCAGCATATTTCCTTCAAATAGAGATTTGGATCTAAGTAGCCATCAATCTGTGCTGAATTATCTTGTAAAGGTAGGATATCATCATGTGACCAATGATTTTATTTCATGGTAATATTACACGTGAAGTTGATACCTGGATAGAGAATATTTGATAAACTATTGTAACTGTTACCATATTTAACAACATTCTGACATTACCAACAAACTCACTTAGAAGTTGATCAATCATTATCATCGTATTCTCAACTTTACATGTTGATGACACATTTGAGCTAGTCATTATCATAAATTTCTCAAATGTCAAAATCGATCAAATGCATCAGCCTCAATAGAAAAGATGGCTGCCATAGTTTGGCTAGTGTCATAATTATAGTCATGGCAACAAATTTGCAATTAATGGGCATGCTAGCGTTAAAATGATTGTCATGGTAACACAATGGCAATTAATGAGTATGCTAGCTTCATAATGATTGTCATGGTAACAAATTGGCAATTAATGAGTATGCTACCGTTATAATGATTGACATAGTAACAAATTGGAGATTAATGCGTATGCTAGCGTCATACTGATTGTCATGGAAACACATTGGCAATTAATGAATATGCTAGTACCATAATGATTGTCATGGTAACATGTTGGCAATTAATGAGTATGCTGACATCATAATGATTGTCATGGAAATGAAATGGCAATTAATGTGTATGCTAGCATCATAATTATCAACATGGAAACATATTGGCATCTAATGAGTATGCTAGTGTCATAATAATCGTCATGGTAACATGTTGGCAATTAATGAGTATATTAGGGATCAGATCAAGAAAATTGTCAAACAAATATTTGTTACATACCTATTACTTCAGAATGTAGAAAGAAAACATGTGATGACTTTATACTTTCCTTTTGTAGTTTGTAGCATGGCAAACTGAACAGATACTTATACAGTGTCATGGTTCTTTTTGTGAACCTCATGCACAGATAGAATTTATTAATACAATTTGCATCTACTGCCATCAAATATTTAGATCTAAGAAAACTGTTTTCATTTCAAGATTTGAAATATATTTCTGATACATGTATTGACTTTATCACAAATACACTCACAGTAAATTTTAAGTCTACTGTCAGGACCCCGTATATCAATAAGTTGTTCTCCAGCCTATATTTATTCATTACAATGCAAATCACTGTGATTTATACTGAACCCTATTAGAAGCTGACATCTACGTATATAAAGTGACAAAATTGTAACAACTTGTACATCAGTACTTCAGATTTATTCCTGTTGTGAGGCTAACACAGGACCAGACACAAGTAAACAATTTGTTTCCTGTACATCTTATAACAATATTGATAGTCAAGGTTGTAAGATATTGCTTTTCCCAAAACATATACACAAACGTTTGCCCATTGTTACATCATTAAGTTTTTTTTAAAATAATTTTCTAGCTGAACTTATTATTTGGATGAATAGGTTGTGTGTACATGGTAATAATTGCTTAATTATCTGTATAATGACCTCATGTTAACGGGACTTTTTGCCAGGGCCTGTTCCCAAGTCCTGGTTTACTGTTAATTACATATGGAACAAAGGGCCATGTCTACAAAATGTGGTGGTAAATGTTGTTAGCGGTCAGCAGGATTAACTTAGGTGACACCAATTAGATAATGAGGCAGTGTATTCCTTTAGCAAAGCTTTGTTTATGTTGCCAGGTGTTTCTGTACCTATTTGCCAAATAAAGCAATCCTACTTATGGCATACCTAAAGGATCTCTGAAATTGGGAGATTACATAGGATCAGGAGGTGGGGCTGAGGAATGAACATTGAGAAACTCCTGTCTGAATTGGTAAAGTTGGCAGGTATGAAATAAAATCCTTACACATTCATAGCATTAATTTCCCTTGACAATAATCATTTGAATTTCCCATTACATTTTTTAAAAAAAAATTATTTGAGTAATTGACTCGTTGTAATTTTTAAACATTGTTGAAAAATAATATCAAGCACCAATTGCAACCTATTTGTCCCATAGATTGTTGAGAAAAGCCTGTTTCTGCTGAAAAACCTATGGCTTGTACCTGGACTACCCAACATAAACCTCTAACCTGCAACCCAACAGTGGAGGGCTAGTGATAAATGATGGGAAGACGCCATTACAACATGGTCATTGCAGCCCCAACCAACTCTTCATGTACCAATTCAAATCTTCTTAAACATTATTAAACAAGAAACACCATACCAAGTATTAGGTATGCATGTTGCCACATGAATGTAGCATAATAATAATACAATAACCAATTTTAAATATGCTTTTGATAAACTCTATTTATCTGGCAATTTCTAAGTAAAGACCACATCTGTACTTTTTCTATATTTCTGGCTGTCATAATGTCAGTTATCCTGCATCTGGCACTGCCATTGTCGGACTATGCCTGCCACATATATTTTCGCTGTATTTAGTTCAGAAAAGAGCTGTGTATTTTAGCATGTGTGGTAATTTGATAGAATTACTTTCTGAATTTACTTAAATATCAAGTTTAACAATATAAGTAACTGTTGAAGTATGTCATTTTACATGCTGTAATGAATAAGTTTATTTATGAAAATTCATGAAATCGCTGCCATATCCATTGAAGTTTGGAACTACATTTCTGCATGGAGCAATTATTTGACATACTTCACCAGGCAAAATTGAGCATAACATCGTCAACAGGCAAACAAACATTGAACAACGTAATTGCTGAAGTTTCCATTGGCTGATTTTCAATCAATGTTGCAGGATAAATAGAATACATGGTCCGTGTCATAAAATATAAGCCGTTTTTTGGCTCAGACAGGAAAACAAAAGTGGTTCTCCAAAGACTCACCACTTTCATCTTTCTACATCCTCGCCAAAATACAGCTTATAATTTAAGACGCTGCATTCTCTATATATTATAGTTTCACATTAAGTAATATCAAACTGAGAATATGATTGGTCTGCAGAGTTTGAAATATTGGAGCATATGTATGTATACTGGTATATCAATTTCTATGTTGTACCATGAAGAATTTCGAGAGAAAAATATTCGTCTTTCTCTTTTGAAAATTGCACGCCTTTCTTTTCATTTTTGTTTGCTATCATGAATAAGGAGTTTCAATAATCTTTATCAATGATATCAATTGCATGTCAATTAAGTTGATGTATGTATCAAATGACAAAGAATTTTAACTTCAGTTTTAAGTTATATCTAAGATATGTACAAACAAAAACACAAATTACAATACATAATGCCAGTGTTTTTTAGGCCTCAGGTATTTGAGTCCTAGCCACATGCTTTTCCTGTTAGTCTCACTTAAACTTTGAAAACCAACTATATCTTTTAGTATTGGGAATCCTGAAAAAAAGTTGGAATTTGTGCTCTGGTCTTGTCTAAAAATATCCCAAAAATATAATTGATAATGCTGAAGACCTTGGCAATAACTCTAATAAGACCTAACAATAGATTATACAGGTCATCTTTCTAAAATTGCTTTGTTTTCCTGATGTAGCCAATACCTCAGATGTCAACTCCTCTGTCTGTTGTTCAGGTGATGCTGCCTCTGTTTCCCCCTCGTCTTCATATAGAGACATCTCATTATGCACATCACTTTCAATTTCATCTTCCTGGTGTATTGTACCAGTCAGGTGATTGTCAAAATTTTCCTGGACCACCCCTTCATCTGAATTTTCATTATCATTATTATTGTGCTGATTGTTTAGATTAATGACAGGAACATTTTGTTGAATTAATGGTGACCTGCTGGCAAGAAATGCAGAAATACCTCTCCCTCCATTGTTTCGCGGATTTGCTGATCCATGCCAGTTACCAAACCGACTTAATGATCGCAAATCTTGTATAATAAGATCAATATTATTGTCTAGTGATTTCGGATGAATTCTTCCATGAAGTGAATCTATATAATTATTAAAATCAGTTAACGAATATGCAACAGTTTGTCCGTATAAAATCTCTTGTACTTCAGGATAATGACTGTAAGTGTGATCAACTACATTATTCAAATCTGTCCTCAATAAACTGAGAAGAATTGCGATGTTCAACAATCCGTCAGTAAAATACTCCTTGAATCTCATCCCAGCAGCTTAGAAGGCGTTTTCAGGATAACGAAGTATGGGTCTATAACACACCCGAAATGGGCTCATACGTCCATGTTCGAAGGTAAACAAAGCACTTTGTTCTTTCTCGATTCGGCCATGAAAGTTGTAATTCCCCAGTTGAAAACCACGTTGCAGACACAGAGTACTGCTTAAACGATTCCTCAGTTGAAGTTATTAGTCATATATATAAATATAAAGGTTTATCTGAAGTCCCTTCAAGAGAATCAAATTTGGTTAAACTCGATGAACGAAGAAGGTGTTTTGTTGTCTTGTGTACTTGGATGCCATGACAGTTCCTTTGCGGTTAGGCGTGCAACATGTCTTTGTCAGTTAAACAAAATTTTCCAATACTTTCTGTGCATTATTTGACTTGTTATGTTATATCTCAGCACAATATGACGAAATGTCACCTGAAATATTTACAAACATTCGAGAAAATTCCTCCAAGTATGTCATGTAACAGCGGAATTCGTGTGTGTGAATCAGCGAAATAGAAATTGACGTCATGTTGCACATGCGTAAGGTGTAGTTTTCCTTCGATTAATTTACTTCCGGTGCACGATATTGACCCTCACCTGTCAAAGCTAGTACAAAACATATAGCCACATACCTACCTGAGCTATAAAGCGTCATTTAAAAAAGAACTTTCTAACACATCCAGTTAAGATAAACGCGAGTAAATGCCAACATTAATAAACAAATACACACATACAAGTGATCACCTCAACATTGAAATATTGCATGAAATATGAAATGTTACATGGAATCAGGTCATCGGTTTGCATTTCTTCACAAGGGCGGGCGAGATGAAGCAAATATTATAATACACATCTCGTCAACGATACACAATCTTACCTGCGTAATAACGCTGTTATTGTTATTGCCGGGAACACACACCGGCTCTAGCTTAATCATGTTGTCGTTTTTAAGTGTTGACGATCTTCTAGTTATGACCTACAGAGCTTAAAGCTCAGGGACTGTTCCTTAAAACACCAATAAACAAGAGAGATTCCGTGTAAATCCTCGAGGTAGTGTCATCAAATCACGATTGCTGTAAATCCCGTGACACTGAAGTGAAAATCGACTACATAAAATCCACTCATGAGCGAACACAGCTGTGACAATCCCGTGCACATCTAGCGCACTTCACTCGCGTACATGAAACCCCTCACACAACTGTACATACTGTAAGCTAAACTGTGTCACCGCGATTGAAGTCTACGGGATCTGAAACGAGTGTTCATTGGTTCACCGTTAGTCACGTGGTGCGCTAATGAACAACCCTCCATGAGAGTACATATACGTAGGTACACGCTCAGTGATCACCTACATAATATATTAAATATTTCAGATATAATGTCGTTCATACGAATTAACAAATCCACTGTACTGGTGTGTTTCTTCCAACGAAAAAAACGGACACCATACAATTTACAGCAGATCCATTATACAACAGGCGTTTCGATAACATAGGCGTAACTGATCATCTGTGAGACGAAGTGTTGCTTTCATTCTTCCAAGTGCAAATCAGTAAAACTTGTTTTATTTTGTTTGCCTATTTATGGAAAGGAAAAAAATCGACAAAACAGCTGATGTTTAGAAGAAATACCAAATCCAATATTTCTTGACTCAGGTTTTTAACCACAGAATTACAATATGGCGATACATATTGGTACAATTTTCTATTTCAAGAATTAATACAGGTGAATATAATATACTTCTGTTAGTATTTCATTTCTAGAAATATTAACCCCTAGTATTCCTGTTCTAGGGAAATTTATCCTAATATTTCTGTTCTCGGGATATTAGCTCCGAGTATTTCATTTCTATTAACCCCTGCTATTCCTGTTCTAGGGAAATTTATTCTAATATTCATGTTCTCGGAATGTTAACCCCCAGTATTTCTGTTCTCGGCATGTTAACCCCCAGTATTTCTGTTCTCGGAATATTAACCCCAGTAATTCTGTTCTCGGATTTTTAAACCCAATACCTGTGTACGGTCAGATTTCAGTTTTCTTTTAGTTTGTATCATATACTTGCTTGATTTACAGTGGACGCTTTTAGCCATCTGCATGAAATCAAATTAATTGGGATTATTGTCATTAAAATGGAAATAAGAACATGAAATTGATTCCTTTGTAAACTGTATCTTTATTAATTAAGAAATGTTCTATCATCACCTGATTATTGTTTTGATAATAAACGTAAATACCAGGACAGATCTGTGATAATAACAGTATAAACTGAAGGTAATTGTTCTGCTTCCTGAATTGGATTGTCAGCTATCTGGATTTAGAAATAAATAAATAAATATTTTCATGATAAAACGATCCCATGAAGTACTTACTTTATGACTATACAGTAATGGGTAAAATATACATACACCGTGTACAGCTATACCTAACAAGCACCCGAGTGTTTATTGTAGTGTGATAAATGATCCGTACACGTATAGCTTGGGTACTGACAATGGCGCTTTGTACCAGCTTCATGTCATTATATAACTAATGTATGCTTAATTCTCGTAGTGTATGCCTCTACTTACCTACACTATACCCCTAACTGTATGTATACCCCGTACATGTAAATGATATCTTTGGCAAACTGCCATCCAATGCGCAGATGTGCAGAAAAGGCCCTCAACTGGGTAATGAGATATATTTGCAAAAGAAACACAACCCACCTGATAAAGGCTGAATGAGGGTATGGAAGGGGGGTATCTAAAATACATAAAGGGCAGAAAGTAGATTGGATGGGGTATAAAGGAAACAGACGGAATTGCTATTGAAAACGGGGTATACAAAGGACAGAGTGTAGAGCAGACGAAATATAGAGGGGCCAAATTGTTGAGGACAAGGCGGTAGAGAGGGATGTGCTGCTAGGAGGGAGTATAGAGAGGAGGGAGTTTTGAGGACTGACACTTTAAAGGAGAGTGTTGTGGGGAGGCAGTATAGAAGGGATTTAGTGTTGAGTACAAAGGTAAGCGAGAGGGAGTGTAGAGACGAGGTGGTTTGTGGAGACGGGTGTGTAAAGTGTAGAGGAAGGCAGTATGGAGGGGACAGAGTGTTGAGGACAGGAAGTATTGAAGGGAGGGTGTGTAGAGGATTAAAGGGAGGCAGTACAGAGTGGATTGAGTTTACAGGGGATGCAGTATAAAGATGAGGGAGAGTAAAGGGTATGGAGTGTAGAGGGCAGACATTGTAGGGAAAATGGATTATACAAGGGAGAGTATAAGGGGGATGGATTATAGCGGGCAAGCAGTATAGAGGGGATGGAGTGTAGAGGGGAGGGAGAGTAAAGGGGAAGCAGTATACAGGGGATGGAGTGTAGAGGGGAGGGAGAGTAAAGGGGAAGCAGTATACAGGGGATGAAGTGTAGAGGGGAGGGAGAGTAAAGGGGAAGCAATATAGAGAGGAGGGAGAGTAAAGGGGAAGCAGTATAGAGGGGATGGAGTGTAGAGAGGAGGGAGATGAAGGGGAAGCAGTATAGAGGGGATGGAGTGTAGAGGGGAGGGTGAGTAAAGGGGAAGCAGTATACAGGGGATGGAGTGTAGAGGGGAGGGAGAGTAAAGGGGAAGCAGTATAGAGGGGATAGAGTATAGAGGGGAGGTAGTGTAAAGGGGAAGCAGTATAGAGGGGATGGAGTGTAGAGGGGAGGGAGAGAGTATAGAGGGGAGTAAAGGGGAAGTATAGAGGGGATGGAGTGAGAGGGGAGTGAGAGTAAAGGGGAAGAATTATAGAGGGGATGGAGTGTAGAGGGAGGGAGAGTAAAGGGGAAGCAGTATAGAGGGGATTGAGTGTAGAGGGGGGAGATGAAGGGGAAGCAGTATAGAGAGGAGGGAGTGTAGAGGGGGGAGATGAAGGGGGAGCAGTATAGAGAGGTGGGAGTGTAGAGTGGGGAGATGAAGGGGGGAGCGGTATAGAGGGGATGGAGTGTAGAGGGGAGGGATATGAAGGGGAAGCAGTAAAGTGGGGATGGAGTGAAGAGGGGAGGGAGAGTAAAGGGGAAGCTGTACAGAGGGGAGGGAGAGTAAAGGGGAAGCAGTATAGAGGGAATGGAGTGTAGAGGGGAGGGAGATGAAGGGAAAGCAGTATAGAGGGGATGGAGTGTCGAGGGGATGGAGTGTGAAGGGGAGGGAGAGTAAAGGGGAAGCAGTATAGAGGGGATGGAGTGTAGAGGGGAGGGAGAGTAAAGGGGAAGCAGTATAGAGGGGAAGCAGTATAGATGGGAGGGAGAGTAAAGGGGAAGCAGTATAGAGGGGATGGAGTGTAGAGGGGAGGGAGAGTAAAGGGGAAGCAGTATAGAGGGGATGGAGAGTAAAGGGGAAGTAGTATAGAGGGAATGGAGTGTAGAGGGGAGGGAGAGTAAAGGGGAAGCAGTATAGAGGGGATGGAGTGTCGAGGGGATGGAGTGTAAAGGGGAGGGAGAGTAAAGGGGAAGCAGTATAGAGGGGATGGAGTGTAGAGGGGAGGGAGAGTAAAGTGGAAGCAGTTTAGAGAGGAGGGAGAATAGAGGGGAAGCAGTATAGATGGGAGGGAAAGTAAAGGGGAAGTAGTATAGAGGGGATTGAGTGTAGAGGGGAGGGAGAAGAAGGGGAAGCAGTATAGAGGGGATGGACTGTAGAGGGGAGGGAGAGTAAAGGGGAAGCAGTATAGAGGGGATGGAGTGTAGCGGGGAGGGAGATGAAGGGGAAGCAGTATAGAGGGGATGGAGTGTAGAGGGGAAGCAGTATAGATGGGATGGAGTGTAGAGGGGAGGGAGAGTAAAGGGGAAGCAGTATAGATGGGAGGGAAAGTAAAGGGGAAGCAGTATAGAGGGGAGATCGTGTAGAGGGGAGGGAGAGTAAAGGGGAAGCAGTATAAAGGGGATTGAGTGTAGAGGGGAGGGAGAGTAAAGGGGAAGCAGTATAGAGAGGAGGGAGAATAGAGGGGAAGCAGTATAGATGGGAGGGAAAGTAAAGGGGAAGCAGTATAGAGGGGAGATCGTGTAGAGGGGAGGGAGAGTAAAGGGGAAGCAGTATAAAGGGGATTGAGTGTAGAGGGGAGGGAGAGTAAAGGGGAAGCAGTATAGAGGGGATTGAGTGTAGAGGGGGGGAGATGAAGGGGGAGCAGTATAGAGAGGTGGGAGTGTAGAGTGGGGAGATGAAGGGGGGAGCGGTATAGAGGGGATGGAGTGTAGAGGGGAAGCAATATAGATGGGAGGGAAAGTAAAGGAAAAGCAGTATAGAGGGGATTGAGTGTAGAGGGGATGAGTGCAGAGGGGATGGATTATATAGGGTATTGAATATACGAGAGAAAATGGAGGTGGAATGAGAAGCTGTTTAGAGTGAGAAACGAGTTTAGAGATGACGCAGAACACACAGGCAGCGGACAGGAGACGGATCTGGAATGATGTACAATTGTAGGAATGATAGAGTGACGACAAATACAAGGATACAAAAATGACAGACGTAGGGAAAAACAAGTGTATATGTGGACTGAACAACATTAATTTATAACGAGTGTTGGGGGGGGGGGGGGGGGGGGGGGGGAGGAGCTTGTGGATTCTAGCTGTTTAGTCGACAATATTGTCAAACGTTTTGTGTTTTTTTTTCTTGTGTAAAACTATATAGGTTCACATTTTGATTTTCTACAGGGTCTTTAGTTTCATCAAAAGCGTGCATGTTTTAAAACTTTCGTGATTTCTTGTTCACGAAAGGCAGAGAATGTAGTGATCGTAACCCCTGAAGTATCGAGGATGTTGTGATCGTAACCCCAGGAGTATCGAGGATGTTGTTAGCGTAACCCCTGGAGTATAGAGGATGTCGTGATCGTAACCCCTGTAGTATCGAGGATGTAGTGATCGTAACCCCTGGAGTATCGAGGATGTTGTCAGCGTAACCCCTGGAGTGTCGAGGATGTAGTGATCGTAACCCCTGGAGTATCGAGGATGTAGAGATCGTAACCCCTGTAGTATCGAGGATGTAGAGATCGTAACCCCTGGAGTATCGAGGATTTAGTGATCATAACCCCTGGAGTATCGAGGATGTAGTCGTCCTTACCCCTGGAGTATCTAGGATGTAGTGGGCGTTACCTCTGAGTATCGAGGATGTGTACGAGTATCAATGGATACGTGTCAGAATCCTGTGATATGGTTTGCTAATTAAAGAAGTTTTTGTTTCTATTGAATTTGCGTTTCCAACAATTCTACTGCACAAAACGGTCATCTATACACGACACAGAAGGTACTGGTATGTCAAAGTGTATTCAAACACTTGATGTGTAATAGCACATTCAACAATATTTATAAAGGAATTCATAAAATACCAACAAGACGCTCTTCATTATGTTTTGTTCGGCCTAATAGTCAAAACAACAATGAAAAATGGATTTAAACTTTCTAAAATCCATAGCTGTATTGAAAAAAGTTTTCCGTGAGGAAGTCGATTGACTCGAGCGCATGTGTTGCGGGTGATATATTGAACAAGATTTGAGGTCTCGGAACAATCAGATAATTTTCTGCATAATTTTTATTTTGCTATGGCATGCTCATACATGTAGTATGTACATATGTTTATTGAAACTACATGTATTATATATTGAACATCTTTTGATAATCATTCAGATGAGAGGATAAGATAAGTTTTGAAGAAAAATAAGCTACCACAATTTTGTGAAGTCGATCAACAGACTTTGATTTTAGATATCAGCCCTGAATTCCTAACATGCAATTTGTGAATGAAAGTATGCTTCGCTTTGTAGAAAAAAGTTATCGAAAATTTTCGATTGAACAGTTCATTATTTTGCCAAATTTCGCTATGTGGTTCTAGAAAGACTTTTTAACAAAAATAATACGTTATGTCCAGATTAGATTGTTTTTCAAGAATTTAAAATATCTGCTTTCAACTACTATACTTTTTGTTTTGTAATATCATTGCAAAACTTAGATGTCCTCCTGAAACTTTCTCACATTTGATGATATTGTGAACCAGCAATGTGCAGGTTAGCCTTATCTACCTTACCTCTTTATAATGAACAGTAACTTGTACATAAAGAAAGGACAGTTAAACAGAATATATATTTCTTTTGTTGATCACAAATGCACATAATTTTTTTTTAGAAAATGTGACCACCTCCCCCATCCCCACCCAAACAAAAACAAAACAAATCAAACTTAAAAAAAAAAGCTGACGATGTATAGTATATACATATATATATATATATATATATAAATATTAACTCACCAGGACGTCTTCGAGTCGATATCCATAAATATGACACATATAAGCATATAAGTACAATGCAGACGTCCTTTGATCTTTAGAGTCACTAGGATTTGGTTTTCCATTATCTATAGCCTTCATATTGACTGTGTATAAAAGAAAACTTCAAATGTACTCCACCATACTGTCTCCCCCAGCGTCAGGACTATGACTGATGTGTAAAATATCATGTGTACGGACATCACAAGGTCAAGTGCAACTGAAGTTCGGAAACCCCGTCTCCTCCCCTTCTCTCTGTTGTTGATAAAAGTCGTTATTAATAGGACATTTTGTCGGACGCTGGGAACCAATCACATATGAAGTTCCTAGAAACCGTTGCCACCTAAGTCGTGTTTTAGGAAGAAAACAAGTTCATTGAGAACAAAACAATTATCAAGTCTCACGATTATTTTCTAACATCATTTTATTAATTATAAAAATAATGTAAACAAGACAGAATTTGCTTACGTATGAGCTGATGTTACAAAAGGTCTGCTGTGCGATGGAAAATGAACTTTAAGCGTAAAATTTCAATGTACGTGCCGTCTTGTCGTCTTCGTTAGTTGTCGAATTAAGTCTGCAAGTACCCAACGTTAACTCACCAACTACTTTACTTTTATTGTGTATTGAAAAACATATATTTTTTATTATTTTCTTTTCTTTTAGTTACAATTTGTTAGAAATTTATTTAGAAATTATAATTTGTTTGACTGACCACAGAAATACATTCCGGTCTACAGAAAATTACTTTAAAATGATCAAGAGCACAGGGGAGACATGAAAATGAGCATAGACGCTGTCGATTATACAACCAGTGGTACCAATGTTAAACCTTCTTTTTTGTATATGTCTTGTGAGAACTATTGTATCTCAATAACTCCTCTGCTATTTTCATTGGGAGACTCCGTTATTAGTTTTTTTCTCTTAGTGTGAGTAGTGTATGCCTTTTGTGAATGTTTGTAAATAAATAGAAGACAACGGGATGATTTTTATTAGTGGAATTTGAAAATTGGTAGTGATCATAGAATATACAAATTTACCTCTAACACATGGCGGAAGTACCAGTTTGGTGTTGGGCAATTGTAAAAATGATGTTGCATCGAATGACAAATGAAGTAATGCATTACATACTGTATATAAAGAGATGATGATGGTGATGATGATGGATCAGGAGTTCTCAGAATCTTCCGAAACTCTGAAACAATGTGTTCTGTGTTCTAGCAATTTGAAATCATAACTAGTAAAAATTGGAAATTAGAGTAAGAAAATAGGTGATTTAACCAGCAAAAAAGACTTTAATTCATACTTTGACGATTGTACAAACGACACACCAAAGCATGGCATCTTTCAATGCAAATCTAGTTACAGTAGTGCCAAGCAATGAGTCTGCATCATACAGCTGTTTCGCCCTTCTAGGACTGGCCACTTAAGGGCCTAAATTGAAATCAACGACAGACTCTTCTGCATCAGCCGCTTATCCTGATCTTTTCCTACAACGAAAGCAACGTGGACAGCTTTCCACCACCAAGCTATATGTTAAGCGTGATGATTTCAATTTCCTTACTGCGAATTTTCCATTTCTTCATAGCAACAACTATGCATCCCTTACCTATGGTTTTTACATGTCGCAGTTGATTATTTTGCAAAGGTCTGTTCCCATTATAACGACTGACAGAAAAAAAACTTGTAGCACAGGATTTCAAAGATGAAGGCTGATGAAAATTATGTGGAAGTCTTACGGTCGTCATGATGAACTCATTGAAAGATATAATTTTCTTTGTACGATATGAAGCTGGATGTGTTTGATGCCCGTTAGTTTGTCTGTTGGTTCCGTTGTACGATATGAAGCTGGATGTGTTTGATGCCCGTTAGTTTGCCTGTTGGTTCCGTTGTACGATATGAAGCTGGATGTGTTTGGTGCTCGTTAGTTTGCCTGTTGGTTCCGTTGTACGATATGAAGCTGGATGTGTTTGGTGCTCGTTAGTTTGCCTGTTGGTTCCGTTGTACGATATGAAGCTGGATGTGTTTGGTGCTCGTTAGTTTGCCTGTTGGTTCCGTTGTACGATATGAAGCTGGATGTGTTTGGTGCTCATTAGTTTGCCTGTTGGTTACATTGTACGATATGAAGCTGGGCGTGTTTGATGCCCGTTAGTTTGCCTGTTGGTTCCGTTGTACGATATGAAGCTGGATGTGTTTGGTGCTCGTTAGTTTGCCTGTTGGTTACGTTGTTATCTATCTGTCCTCATATTCGAGATACATTACTTCATTGGATTGACAAAAATTTATATTGCGGATGTCGTCGATGACACAGGAGACGTTTATTGTTCTAGAACACCTGGTCTTATTCTCCGCGGTACTTTTTAAGAGTCTCGGATCAATTTTTGGTTTGGTTCATATTTTGCTTTAGTTTAATTGATTTGATTTTGGATTATAACTTTGTTGACCTGTTTTGGTGTTTGTCGGAGGTTTTGTTGAGGTTGAATTAGTTGATGTGTTGGTGTTTGTCGGAGGTTTTGTTGAGGTTGAATTAGTTGCTGTGTTGGTGTTTGTCGGAGGTTTTGTTGAGGTTGAATTAGTTGCTGTTTTGGTGTTTGTCGGAGGTTTTGTTGAGGTTGAATTAGTTGCTGTGTTGGTGTTTGTACTGAGGTTTTGAGGTTGAATTATTTAGCAATACGATATTTGTGAGGTTCAAATTGTTGAAACTGTTGGAAAGGGTGTTTGAGAAGGTTTTGTTGAGTCCAATCAATCTGATAAGTTGTGATACTTAAAAACAACAATACAATTTTAAGTTGCTGTTTTGTTGGGGATGACGATGTTATTTCGGAGGATTTTGTTGAGGTTGGATGACGATGTATATTTGGTAAGAATGCTGTTTTGGTGCTGGGGATGACGATGTTGAGGTTGAATTAGTTGCTGTTTTGGTGTTTGTCGGAGGTTTTGTTGAGGTTGAATTAGTTGCTGTGTTGGTGTTTGTCGGAGGTTTTGTTGAGGTTGAATTAGTTGCTGTTTTGGTGTTTGTCGGAGTGAGGATTTTTTGAGGTTGAATTATGCTGTTTTGGTGCTGGGGATTGATGAATTATTTCAGTTGAATGCTGTTTTTGTTGGGGTTGACGATGTCTATTTCAGTAAGAATTAGTTGGTGTTTGTCGGAGGTGTTGTTGAGGTTGAATTAGTTGTTGTTTTGGTTGTTGTCGGAGGTTTTGTTGAGGTTGAATTAGTTGTTGTTTTGATTGTTGTCGGAAATTTCGTTGAGGTTGAATTAGTTGCTGTTTTGGTGTTTGTCGGAGGTTTTGTTGAGGTTGAATTAGTTGCTGTTTTGGTGTTTGTCGGAGGTTTTGTTGAGGTTGAATTAGTTGCTGTGTTGGTGTTTGTCGGAGGTTTTGTTGAGGTTGAATTAGTTGCTGTTTTGGTGTTTGTCGGAGGTTTTGTTGAGGTTGAATTAGTTTTGTGTTGGTTTGTCGGAGGTTTTGACGAGGTTTTCAGTTGCTGTTTTGGTTGGATGAGTTCTTGTTCAGGTTGAAGAATGCTGTTTTGGTGCTGTGAAGGTGTTGTTGATGTAGAATTAGTTGCTGTTTTGGTTGTTATGGGAGATTTTGGCGAGGTTGAATTAGTTGCTGTTTTGGTGTTTGTCGGAGGTTTTGTTGAGGTTGAGGTGCTGTTTTGGTGTGTGGATGGTGTTATTTCGGTTGAATTAGTTGGTTTTGTTGAGGTTTTGTTGGTTGAATTAGTTGCTGTTTTGGTGTTTGTCTGTTTTGGTGTGAGGTTTTGTTGAGGTTGAATTAGTTGCTGTGTTGGTGTTTGTCGGAGGTTTTGTTGAGGTTGAATTAGTTGCTGTTTTGGTGTTTGTCGGAAGTTTTGTTGAGGTTGAATTAGTTGTTGTTTTGGTGTTTGTCGGAGGTTTTGTTGAGGTTGAATTAGTTGTTGTTTTGGTGTTTGTCGGAGGTTTTGTTGAGGTTGAATTAGTTGCTATTTCAGTTTGAATGAGGTTTTGTTGAGGTTGAATTAGTTTCTGTTTGCTGTTTTGGTCTGGGGATGACGAGGTTTTGTTGAGGTTGAATTAGTTGATGTTTTGTTGAGGTTGAATTAGTTGCTGTGTTGGTGTTTGTCGGAGGTTTTGTTGAGGTTGAATTAGTTGCTGTTTTGGTGTTTGTCGGAGGTTTTGTTGAGGTTGAATTAGTTGCTGTGTTGGTGTTTGTCGGAGGTTTTGTTGAGGTTGAATTAGTTGCTGTTTTGGTGTTTGTCGGAGATTTTGTTGAGGTTGAATTAGTTGCTGTGTTGGTGTTTGTCGGAGATTTTGTTGAGGTTGAATTAGTTGCTGTGTCGGTGTTTGTCGAAGGTGTTGTTGATGTAGAATTAGTTGCTGTTTTGGTGAATTAGTTGCTGTGTTGGTGTGGGGATGTTGAATTAGTTGATGTTTTTCGGATTTCGGTTGAATTAGTTTGTGTTGGTGATATTGTCGGAGGTTTTGTTGAGGTTGAATTAGTTGATGTGTTGGTGTTTGTCGGAGGTTTTGTTGAGGTTGAATTAGTTGTTGTTTTGGTGTTCAAAGAGAAAAGGTTTTGTTGAGGTTGAATGTGATGTGGTTTGTTCTTGGACCTGGTTATCAACCGGAGATTTTGTTGAGGTTGAAAATTAGTTGCGAAGTTATTTTTGTTGCTTGACTTCCCTAGTGGAATTATGATCATTAATAAAGAATGTAAACTGGTGAAAACGAAATGGAAAAGTTATCATTGTAAAAACGAAATTAAGGATATTCGGATAACTTTAATAAGATGATTTTAATGAAACAAGAAAATTTGCCATAAAAGAATTCAAATACAATTTAATTTTTATTTATTGTTGATGATTTTCCCGAGGAAATTCTTTCATTTATGCCCCTCAACACAATTCACGAAATATATTCTAAATACTCATACAGTGATTAATTAGGTGCTTTTGTTCCTATAGGCTTCAGTATTAGCTATGTCCTTCCACATATTACTGTTTTTTCAAGCCACAAGATTGTCGGTAGTACATCGTGGAGGTCATTCTGTAGAGATAATCATTGTTAATATTACTGGATTTTCCTTTGTCGTTTGCCATCTGTTCTTTCCGAACAACACTATTTTATTGAACTTTAAATAGTGTTTATAGACACAATGGTATCTCTTCGTAATGGCATTTCTGCATCGGTCCGTGATTGGTGAGTTGACTTTCAAGATTTTATCTTACAAACTATTAATTGAATCTTCATTACTATGACGACCAGTGATGACGAAAAGGACAAGATCCTTTAATCGAGTTTAATATGTATTTAGCAATATGATATATCCTGAGTGAGGTTCAAACTGTATCTAGAAACTTAGGAAAGGTAAAATGTTAATGAGAAGGTACACGTTGATTAACATGTCCAATCAATCTGATAAGTTGTAGATACTTAAAAACAACAATACAATTTCGGTAAGAATGCTGTTTTGGTGCTGGGGATGACGATGTCTATTTCGGTAAGAATGCTGTTTTGGTGTTGGGGATGACGATGTCTATTTCGGTAAGAATGCTGTTTTGGTGTTGGGGATGACGATGTCTATTTCAGTAAGAATGCTGTTTTGGTGCTGGGGATGACGATGTCTATTTCAGTAAGAATGCTGTTTTGGTGCTGGGGATGACGATGTATATTTCAGTAAGAATGCTGTTTTCAGTGAGGATGCTGTTTTGGTGTTGGGGATGACGATGTCTATTTCGGTAAGAATGCTGTTTTGGTGTTGGGGATGACGATGTCTATTTCGGTAAGAATGCTGTTTTGGTGTTGGGGATGACGATGTCTATTTCAGTAAGAATGCTGTTTTGGTGCTGGGGATGACGATGTCTTTTTCAGTAAGAATGCTGTTTTGGTGCTGGGGATGACGATGTCTTTTTCAGTAAGAATGCTGTTTTGGTGCTGGGGATGACGATGAATATTTCAGTAAGAATGCTGTTTTGGTGCTGGGGATGACGATGTTTTTATTTCGGTGAGAATGTTTTTGTGGGGGATATACAAACTTACAAACTATTAATTGAATCTTCATTACTATGACGACCAGTGATGACGAAAAGGACAAGATCCTTTAATCGAGTGATTAAAGGAAAGCGAAAGTCCAAAGTCCAGTGAAATTATGTTTATAAAAAGTAAAACCATGAGAATTAAATTTCATTGTCATGCTGTCTTGGAATTTTAGTTACATTTTAAATGTTTTAAAATGTTTTACTTAATATCATTTCCTTCGGCAAGAACTATACCATGTCTTCACGGAGACAAAAATAAACATTGAAAAAGTGTAATGACAATATGCATTTTAAATGGACCGTGGGAACCTTTAAAACTGATTATCCTTTAGGAAGCTATGCAGCAGGAATCTTTTACATATCACATCTTGTATTTGCAATAGATAACCAGGTCTGACGATATCAACATCAGTGATTAATATTATTTCCATTCGTTTATTTAATCTCTGGAATTATGGGTCTATTGCATATCCCCATTTATATTTAGATTGTTCTTTTTCACAGTCGTCTCCTAGGATTCAAACCCTTGGCCATTAGCAATACTGACGAGTCTTAGAAACAATTGTATGATGCAGTCTAATTCATCACTTTGGCACTACTGTATCTAATATTATATTTGCGTTGAAAAATGCTATTCACTTGTGTACAATTTTTGGCGCACATAACTATTCGAAGGATTAAAATGTCCGAAGTCCCACAGAAAAGGTTTTATCTAATATACCTCCTTATTTAAAGAAATAAGTGTAGAAGGCTTCAGTGAAACTGGTAAGAACTGCAACAAAACTTAAAACCAATAAAACAATCGGAAGCCGTAACTCTAGCTCAAATCCAACGGCATCGAAGGACTTATTTGACCTAGCTTCATTTCGCTTTATACCTGTTTGTTGGGTTGGCCCAGCAAGCGATGATGACCAATGGTTTCATGATGTCTGTGAGGGAAGCAAAAACAGAATTTTGATTAAGTAAAACCTACATCATCATACTTATTAATCAATTCCAATTAGCATCATCTACTTCATGACACTTAAAAGGAAATGCTTACACACATATCATTGGGAAACATGGAAGAATAAGCCCAAGAATTTCGGAATGGTAAGCGGCCTCTGCAACACCCGCATTGTAAATCTAGGTCATTTTAAATATGTCATCTTTCAAAATGAGATAAATATTTATTACGACGTAAAAAAGGCATACAAACAAGCATTGAACACGACAAACTTCAAATCGGCAAAGAAAATGAAATTACTAGAACTGGCTGGAAAATAAGGAAAATAATTCCAGTATATGTTGTATGAAGAGCGTCATTATTATCTGTCGAAGTTGCAAAGTATCTCTGATAATTCAGAAGCTAGTAATTCAATATCGAACTCTTCAACAGCGTATCTCTGGTCACACACCACGATCATAGGTGTGATTCGTCAGCAAATGTAAACACTTTATAACAACAATGAATTTCTGAGGTCTACATGAGAAATATTGAATGCATATTTTTCATTATTATGTTAATTGATATGGTTGTCCATCTCTGTGTTACTGTTCTCTCACCAGCCTTGGTTATATGGGTGCCAAAGTGTTATCCAAAGAAGTACGAACACGAAAGGGAAAAGAAAAAAGAAAATACACAAACTGACTAAGGAACCTTCAGATTAAGCTAGGTCTTTCCAGTGTCAACCGTGAGGAAAATGACCAGTCTCCATGTGACTGTTTAAGTTCAACACGTAGACACATCAGTCCGCCGTATGTACGTGTTCAAGGCATAATCTCACCAAAATAAAGTAGGCGGTATCTCATGATTGAAACAAAAGTTGTTTTGTTCCTTGCCTAGCATTGTGGTTTTAGGTCCTTGCTTATCATTTGTTGTTAATTGGTTTAAGTAGATGACCTTGTGTAATGGTTTCACCATCATGTAATATATCTTCGTGGGGCAAACAGCATTTCTTTGGGAATTGTTTGTAACAATCAACTATGTAGAAATATGAACGTAGGTGATTAAGTGAAACTTTGTTCACTATAATCACGATAAACATACATATGGGGCAAGGATGATCAGTCAATATTTCTTTCATTTGGCATCGAATACATCTTATTGTGTGTTTTTTTTTTGTTCATTTTTTTTTGTTTCGCTGTTTGGTATTGTTATGTCTCTGTACATTGTAAACACAATCACGTCACGATTAATCCGGTGTTATAAATTTTCACATTCTGTTAAAGAAATTAGATGAATGATTCAGTAAGTGTATAATCATGACCATTTTATAAGGAAATGACTCTCGGTACATATGTACCGTGGACAATATAGGAAGCATGTGTGTCAGTACATATGAACCTTAAATTCTTGCAGATATTGTCATTGTTTTGTATCGAGAAGTGCTTTCAGTGCAAAAAACTACACCAACCCCTCTTACCGAGTAGACAGGACCTGACTATAACTATGACGTCAAAAAACGGAAACTACCAGTGACCACATCGTAACTCATTCAGTGTGGTTTCCTCAGCGCGTTGTCAACTTTCTTACAATACAAAACCGACATTTTTGTACGCATGATATTTGTTGTTTTCCATCATTTGGGAATCAACAACATATGAAACTTGTCGACAAGTGGTTAAACATTTCTCATTATCTTCCTCGTCCAAACCCCATTGTTGAAACATAACTTTGGGTTTTTCTGTTTTCAACATTTAACCTCAAACCCATATATGTTATTGCAAATGCAATCGAAATACATAAATCTGCAATAATCAAAAGGATATTTGTGTTTAATTCAGCTGATCCGATCGATCGATGACTTACAGAATCGGTGACGTAAATCCGATAATGTTGTCATGGATACATAGATGTATATTCAATGTGAGATAAAGAATGGCCACCATGGTCTCTCACCTGCTCACGCCCCTACCTCTCATGTCCCTATCACGTTACTGACCTTAACGGACTGCTGTTGAAG